CAAGAGCGCTCGAGCAACTACATCAATGAGAAGTACCAAGAAAAGAATGAAATCTCTAGCTTCATAAAATATGCTCACCAAAAATAAATTTTAAAGCTGCTAAGCTGCCAGTTGAACTTCACTTCTGAGAAGCGAGCAAACAAATCCCAATTAGCTGCAGCTTAGTTGCCCAACAAAAGTCAAGCTGGCTCCACAGCACAAACAAAGACATGTAAAAATTGGCTCTTAACAGGGCTTACTTGAAACCCAAAGAAATCACATTCCGGCAAATGCTCCTCACTTATTACATAATTAATAATTAGACGAGCAAAAGTATTTTAATAACTCATGCCACTGGCCAACTGAGTACTCAAGTACTCTTAAGTGCTCAAGTTGTCTGTGTGCATGTGTGTGTGTGTGTGTGTGTGTGTGTGTGTGTGTGTGAGTGTTGGGGGTCAAATCAATGTGCGAAACGTGCTAATTGCGGCAGCTGTGCAAATGTGTGCGTTGGCCATTTGATAGCTTGCCATCATTTTGATGGCTTTCGGGCTGTCACAAGCCATACCCACACCCGCAGACACGCCCACAAAACTTGGCATTGGGCTAGTTTAATGTGTGCGCTGTTGGCCATTGCCAAAAAACTAATTGCCAAGGCATCAGTGTTTGAGGTCAGGCACACAAACTTTTGCATAAATGCCTTCAGGCACCACACACACACACACACACACACACACATACGCATACACAATTGTGGCATACTTTAAGGCCGAGCAACTCGAAAGTTTCCGTTTGTGCTGGCGAGTCTTTGGCCGGGGTGTGTAAGCTGTTCGGTTGTGCGTCGTAAAAAATTGACATACTCATCGCCGCCGTAACACGTAATGAGATACTTCAAAATGATGTTATTGCTTTATTTATAGCGTCACATAAAAGCTGGCGATGCTTGGGGTTTGGTTTAGCTTGGGTTTAGGTTCCGGCTCGGCTTCCGGTTTGGCTTTCATTTTTTACTTGGATAGCAGCCACATAACCTTTTTTATGTAGTTTTTACTCTTACAGCTGCCATTTGTTTGACTTCATCTGTCAAGCACACACACACACACACACACACACACACCTTCAACTACCCACACACACATTTATCTATATGTGGCTAATAAAACTGCTGCAACTGAGTGTCTCATATTTTCATAAAAGACAAACTGCTTCAGTTTAAGTAATTGCCAGCAGACGTTGTTTACCTTCACAAAATAAACATCATCAAAATATTCTATGCTGCATCAGAATAGAAGAAGAAAAAAAAAAAACAAACATCAAACACATTTTAATAACAGCTTTTTATGACCAGACTGTCAAAGGCTCAATGCAATGGCATATAATGTTACAAAATGGCCACGAAAATAAATAGAATTATTTACATATGCAAACTTTGTTTAAATCAGGCAAATGTAAAGCTTACAGGCGACTACCATGTGCACTATTCCATTTGTGCTCAATTTAATTTCATTCCATTTCATATTCAGTTCATTACTCATTTCACTATTCTATTCCACTATTCTCTTATAACCAATGCCATTTCATTCCATTCTGGGATTTATGCGAATAATACCAATCTTTTTCATTCCTTTCGGTTCCATTCTACGTTCAATATACTTATATAGATTGCACCTCACTCGATTATTCAAATCCATTTCACTCCACTGCCGGACTCACGTGAACTACTTCATTATATTTCATTCCATTCCGTTCCATTAAATTCCATTGAATTAAATTCAGTTTCATTCTATTTTATATTTAAGAAAAGTTCACTTTCAATTCCTTGCCATTACATTACATATGTTTCCCTCTCTCCAAATATCGATTATAAATCAATCAATCTAAGTTTAGTTAAATTATTCCATGCTAGTTTTGTTGATCAATTATATTGAAAATGACTTTCATATTGATACACTAATCCAGTTACATCAGCTTGTTTAAAAATAGTTGTAAAAATTCTTTGCTTAGCAGCCTTGTTACAGACTGAAAAGTAGAAAAGAGGAAAACTGTAACTAAAAAATAAATAAAACTCGTTGCAACGTTTTATATATATGCATATATATATATATATATATATATATATTTTTTTTTTCTTCCCAATTCATTGTGGAAAATAAAATGGTTTTATATTTTTCTATTTTAGAAAACTTTAACCAAACTATACTCTATAGACATTCGCCCTATTTGAGAGTCGCATGAAAAATTCACGAACAGATTCCGCCCGATGCGCACATTTAAAATGCACTTTGCCGCTGGAGAAATATTCAAAAAAGAAATGTGAGGGAAAATATTTTTAGCTATAAAGCGAAAAGCACGCTGCAAGTGAATGCTTTAAAGTGCATCAATTTAATAATGCAAACATGCAGCAAGTTGCATTAACTTTTGCCGCGCAGGCGGCATTAAAATTTGCATAATTGCTGCGACTCAAGCGAGTGAAAGAGCAAGAGCGAGAGAGTTATACAAAAGGATTTGTTGTAATTGTTATTGTTGTTGCATGTTGCACCACATGCGTGCAACAACGTAAAGAGGTTTTCCCCAACGTAATGAAAAGCGCGTCCAGCACTTGGCACAATTAACGATTTTTCATGATTTCAGTCCATGCAAGCAATTTGCATAAATCAGTGCAAAGTATCTGTGACAACGCAAAAGATGACCTGAAAGGGGGCCGGGTGATGGGAGCCGTGTTTGTTGTGTGTGGCCTGGTGCTGCTGCTGAAAAATGTTTACACATTTGCAAATGTCTGAAGGTCAGACGAGGCTGGTGACGGGGCGGCAGGGGCAGTGGGCAGGGGGCAAGGGGCAGGGGGTGTACGTATGTTGCGACATGATTTAGGCGCCCGTTCCCGCACTGAGTAATTGCGTGGCGGGCTTTGCCCCGGTCTTGGCCTGGTCACGCCTGATTCTGTGCCTCGGGCAGCTTTAATTTAATTTATGCCCAACAAAAGCAACAACCAAGGCGGTTAAAAATGGGAAGCCTTGTCGAGGGCCACTAAGTGGCCGCTTCAGCAAAATGAAATGCACTCAACAACGTTGCTGTAGTTGTTGTTGCTGTTGTAGCTGCATAGCTGCCTTTTAAATAAAATTTATTGTTATGGCAACACAATGTGTTTAGTTTTATGGCGCATAAGATGCATAATAGTTATGCACTGTACTGCATTTGCCTGCAGCTGAGCTATTTAATGCGTAATTACAACGAAAATCTTCTTAAGACTGTCGACTGTGCCCCAGCTGGCAAAGGCAAATGGCAAATGCTGTGAAAGCAGCTTAGTGCTTGCTTCATTGAATTCATAAGCCTGGCTCCCTCTCTCTCTCTCTAACTTTCTTTTCTCGCTGCAGTCAAAAGAATATCCCAAGAGGACAAAGGTCAAAGGAAAATGCGTGCAAAATGGCAAAATGAGCATAAAAAACAGCAGCAACTGCAGCTGCAACATTGCAACATGCAACAGCAGCAGCAGCGGCAGCAACAACCGCAAGCAGATCGTCAAAGCTCAATTAACTTGCAACACTGCCAACAACTTCAACTAATTAACCAGTGCTTGGCCTCAAGTATTCTGTCCTCTTTAATAAACCCCTCCTTCAAACGCTCAACCACCACCAATCGTGCTGAGCTGTGCGCAAGAAAAAACGTAGCATGCTTTTAGGCGCTGCTGAGCATCCCACAAGCACTTCATGTCTCAGATCTAGATATTATAAGCGATGGCTGTGGGTTTGTGCGTGCCACTTAGTTGCACGTCGTATTGAGTTGCCTCTAGTCAGAGCTGTAAGTGAACCTGAGCTCACCTTAGATAATATATCTAATATCTTATCCAAATATTGGTCGCCATTCAATATTTGACTTGAAATTAACTAAATTTATTGCTGTAAATATTTTGATTTGTGTCTATTTCAATAGATTGCATATCTTTGGGCACCAAATTATAAACTATAAAATTTATGGCCATACTTTGTGCTGGACAAGCAAAATATTTGCCTAAGACTTGCTTCAAATCTAAGCAAATTGCAATTCGGATTGAATTTGATTTATTTCAAAAATGGCAAAATATATTTATTCACAGAGAGATTTGTATCAATATTTAAGCTTAATGAATGCATTTTGTAACCTGCTCAGCTTTCAAGTGATTTCACTTGGCATTCAATATACATCAGCTTAAATTGTCTGTGAACAGTTTAAGCTCATAAATTAGAAGAAAAGGTGTGCAAAATATTGTTAGAAATATAAAAATGAAAATAAAAGTTACCCATGACAAATATCCAGGCTGCTTAGCGAACTTTTAAAGATTTTTTGGTATAACTATTGACGAGGCTTATACCAAACCAGCAATTTAAAAACGCCGGTTCAAATGAACAACTGCTGAGAAAATCTCAGCCTAAAAGAATTAAAAGCGTGGGCCCAAACAATCTATTCATTCAAACATTTTTGATAAATTACAATTTTGGACGAAAAATAAATGTAGCCCGGATTTTGTTTATGAAAATATATAAGACTTATAATATTTTCAGTACAACGGGCAATTGCTCATATCAAAAAATACCAAAAAGAAATATATATGACAAGGTTTGAACTGAGAATGTGGCAAGCCACTGGTTCGAGCCATAAACGGAATCATCGACAACTTTCGTTGACTTTGCAGCCCTGCCCCTGATATATACACTTTTCTTGATTATTTATCATACTATGCTAGTTTTGTACTCTTTCATTAATACATACCCGAAGAACTGCTCGCAACGCTGTAGCCGCAATTGTTGCTTTGTTTATGTTGCAACCGAATTGAGTATTAAATTTTATTTTGCTTACTGCTACTTGGCATAGAACATCAAGGCAGCATTATTGAGAGGTGAGTCGTTTAATTATGGCGTCTCTTGTTCGGCTACATTTATCTTATCAGCCTGTTCGACAGCGTACAAGATGTGTTATCTATCAGCAGCCACTGATAGTTCTTCGCCGCATCGGCGTTTGCAATCGATGTCATTTGTATAGGCGCTCTCAACGCGCACAGATGTCCCAGTCAATCGATGCAGCTACTCACGTTGGCTGACTCCATGTGGCAGGCGATGTGCAACATGTTCCACCTGCCCGATCTGCTAGGTAAGTATATAGATTATAGAGTGTGTGCTCGTCTGATAGTTTTTCCTTTTGTCAGTTTTGTGCTGCCTGTGGGGCAGCGGGCTTTCGCTGGGTTACTACCTGAAGTCGGCCTTTGTCTATGATAATCTCTGGCCACACTGGTACGCACTGGCGGCTGGAATCATAGCGCTGACCCTGGCTCTGGGTTGGACACTGCGCAAGCATGGCAAGCAGCGTTATAGCTACGATCATTATTACATCATATTCTATGGACTGCTCTGCTCGCTCCTGGGCAGCTGCTTTATGCTCAGCAATCAGTTAGGTGAGTTGAAAGACAAAGCTGTCGGGTCAATTGGGCTCTAATCGACTACCACAATGCTTCCAGCAGCTATTAGCTACTACTTCAGCTTCATTGGCCTGAGCGTTGTGTATGTGGCCAGCTTCAGTTATGTGAGCCTGCGCAGCGACGCCTCTGGGCTGCGTCCGGCTCGCATTGCTTTGGCCAATGCATCGCATGCCTGCGGCCTGGCCAGCGGCTTTGTCATCTTCAACGAGTTTGAGCCACATCGATGTGGGCTTATTGAGCTGGGCATTAATCTGCTGCTGCTGCTGTTCGTCTGCATCAATGAGCTGGTGCAGCATCTGGGCGTGCACAACTACAAGCAGTCCAGGGACCTAGTCTTCAATCTGCTCAACGAGGAACGCCTCGTCTTTTTGCCACGCCAAGCCATACTGGCCCAGTTTGTGGGCCGCACCGACTATTCTCTACAGCACAGTCGCCAGTGGCTAGTGTTGGTGCTGGGCGGTCTGCTGTTGGTGCTGCAGCGCTGCTGTCTTCTACATTCGCCCGTGCACCTGCAGCTCATGTGGAGTGCCACCTCGGGCTTCGTGCAGCGCTCCCAACTCTTTACACCCTTTGCTCTCTATGCTGGCGGCTGTGCCCTGAGCGCTCTGCTGCTGCTACGTTACACGCCCAAGCTGGTCTATTTGCTGTTTGGCGTCATACAGCTGACATTGGTGGCGGCACTATTGTGCATCTATGATGATGATCAATCGGAGCACAGTTTCCTTTTTCTGTGCCTCATATATGCCAGTGTGGGCGTACTGTCCAGCCAGGCGCTGCACTGGCTGCTGGAGTGCTCACCTTTTCTCTACGCGGAGCTGTCGCTAGCCTTGGGCTTTGTCCTGCAGCTGGCCATAATGGAGGCCAGCAAATACGAGCTGGGCGTGGATGATGTGTGGACAACGCTATTGGCCAGCAGCCTGGCATATCTACTGCTGACATTGCTGGCCATAATGTTGGTAGTCTGGCTGCAGCCCCGCTCTGCTAGTCTGGTGGATGTGCGCAATCGCCTGCTGGGCATTCGACGCCTCAATTTGCCTGCTGCCCAGACCCAGTTCTGGCACACCAATCACTTTCTCGCTCACGACAAGCAGCCAAACGAACTCCAGTCCGTGGAGTTGGACAAGTCGCGCGTCTTTCAGCAGTATCCCATTAGCAGTTCCACTGGCAATGACAAAGCGAATAAGTTTTAAAATAAAACGTTTCGTTTCTTATAACATTAGCTAAGGATTAACTTATACAGCAGTAAGCAGTAAAAAAATTATTGATATATATGTATATTAAGCTATCTCATTTTTGGAGCATTAATAAATTAATAGAATAAAATCGAATACTTAAGCTCTTGCTTTTATCTTAAGCAATTACCCAGGTTTTTTCTAACAATTCATGCAAATTTTTTGATGGGCGCTTAAGTACAGGTAATCTCTCTCTTGCCAGTGGCGCGTTCTTAATAATTATATCTTGGTCATCTGTGACTAACGACCAAAGTCTTGAGTGCAGGGCATAAATGATTTTTATTGATTTTTAACAAATTAAATTGCGCGTTAACCGCAACTGAATTTATCATAAAGATGGTATATATCAGTGCGTCCAGAAGCTACTGCCACACCCAACCACCTACGCGTTTTCAGTGGTTCGCCAGCCTTTTGCCACAATTTTATTGCCAAAACATTAAACATTTATATCCGCTATCAATTTCGTTGCGTCGGAAAAACGTAATCGCATTGCAGCCTCTGCCGCTGTTACTATCGCCGTCTTCCTCTCTATATCGCTCTCTCTCTCTCTTTTTGTCCCTTGCTGCCGCTGCGAGGGCAATTTTTCCGGCTCCTACCTAATTTAATTTACGTAGAAAACCCGGCCGCAACGTGCTATGGCAATAAAAACGTTAAATTTGTTTATTTTTTCAAGGCGCCTGAATACGATGGGCTGCCTGGGAGGCGTGGGGGCTTACCCATTCAATCCACCCGCTTCGATTTTGATGTTCGGTATTTTTGTGCCCTTGCTGTTTAGTGTAGCATACCTCGGGGCGCACATTGAAAATGCTCGCACAACGACACCCACATCCACACACACACACGGACTCTGTCGCTCTGATGCTGTGGCCCTTTTGTTTTCTGCAACGCCATTGTTTTTAAGTGGGTGCCGCACATCCTTTCCTCCCTTATCACTAATGAAGTGGCCAATGAACTGCGACCCAAAGATTAAAGCGAAATTAAATGCCAGCCCAAAGTTGATTGATCGAAAAAAGGTGCATGTGCTAATTTAGTAGAAATAAAATGCTCGCTACGAATTTATATTCGAAATAGCTAGGGACTCGACAGCCCCCAAAGTGAAAGCAATTTAAAAGTAATTAAGCTTAAAATTCCCGAGTTTTTGCCAATCTGAAGCACAATAAATACACTTTTTTTTTTTTATAATACAAATAAATAAAATTTTCTGTAGTCATAGGTATTTTGCTGCGCATCAAGAAAATAGCGTAAATTACGATTTTCTGTTTCTGTTTAACTACAATTTGATTTATTTAAAATTCTATCTAAATTCTGGTTTATATTAAACCTAACTTTTTAAAACCTTTAATTGTTTTTGTTGCACCTCTCGCTGCTGACTAACTGCTCAGAGATGAGTGCAGCAGCTATAGGTTGCTTTTTCTCTTTCTCCGCTTCACATTCTCGGCCTCGTCCACGGCTAAGGCGAATTTCTGCACAACCTCTGGCAATTCTTCCTGCTCATCCACCGTCCAGGTCTCCAGATGCGGTGGCCTGTGATGCAATATAAATGGGTTGATTATTTCGGCGACGCCCTTTGCATTGTTCAGATGCACATGGTGTGTGCCCTGCACCTCGTGCAGTTCAAAGTGTGGATTATTGGAGCGCAGTATGTCAATAACCTCCTGACTTTCGCCATCTATAAAATTCGACTCGGAGCCCTTGATCACACAATAGGGCACATTGCGTATGGTCCGGGCCAGTTCGGCGGCAAAGGGCGGACTTGTGTGGAACTCAAAGTAATACTTGCAGCGTCCGTCTCGCGAGAAATAGTACTTGTCTGGGTATTTGGTCGATTTGGCCACATTGCGGTCCAATATATGATGGCAGTTCTCCAGCGACACCGAGCCATCTGAGCCCTTGTGCAGGACATGCTCCAGTTCTTGCCACGTATAGGATGGCGGCTCCTCGCGCTTCGCATTGGCGAAACGCTCATCCTCGACCATGTAACGCTCTATATTGGTGCGCAGGTATTCGATTTGCGAGGGTGGCTTGCGGTAACGCGTCCTCACAATGTCAATGCTGATCAGCATGTCGAGGCGATGCGGGTAGAGCGAGGCAAAGATGAAGCACAGCATGGCGCTCATGGAATGGGCCATTAGCGACACCTTCTGCCAGCCATACTCCTCCATAATGCGCAGTATCACGCACAGGTAGTCCACAAAATGATAGGCAATCCCCTCCGGCAGCTTGGACGAGAAGCCATGCCCAGGCAGATCAATGCACAGCACGCCCAGGTGCTTGGGCAGCAGCGGCAGCAGCTCATTCCAAGTGCCCAAATTGTCCAGCCAGCCGTGCAGGGCGAGTATTGGACGTACCTGGCGATTGCCATACCAGCGGCCTACCACATAGCCCCAGGGCATATTGATGCGCACATCCATGGGCTGCAAAGGTAGAGAAAACCGAGAGTCGGGTAAGTTGTTGCCGACACACAGCTAATTGACAGGCCAAACTTTGTATAGCACGGAATAACCCGAGGGTGTTCGAACAATCGAAAAGGGTTCGCAGGAAAACAAACGATGGCAGATTGGCAGCTCATTCCTTTAATATGCCTTAACGGGTTAAGTTAATATATATATGGAGATGTATTTAAGCAAAAATTGGCTGGAAATTGATTTTGCATAATGCAAAGAAATCTTAGCACAATTTCTATTCTCCAATCCAATCCAAAAAATTAATAAATGTAAGTGTATTTTGTCTTCGGCGCTTGTCGATAAGCTCGATTTGATTTGATCAATCGTTCGGTTTACACGTGAAGATTGATGGGCAGCATTCAGCTTGAAGCCACCCGACAATTTATCATCTGTACATTTTTTTTTATCGGTTGGAGCTTGGCAGTTGCTGGATATTGGAGGGGAATCGATGCCCGTTCTGCAATTGACTGCAGCGCATGCAAACTTTAAATGTCGACAAATGGATTTTCGTAGTTTTGCTTCACAAAAAAAAAAGAGACCAAACTTTTCACGACACTTTTCGAATTGTTGTTGTTGTTTTTGTTGTTATTGTTGTTGCTTTTGTCTAAGAGTTGGCTCGTTCAACTTGAAAATTAGCGCAAAATGCTTTCAAGTGTGACACAAAGTCTGCAAAAGTTTCATCCCCTCCTCTTCCTCCTCTTCCTGCTCCTGCTCCTGCTCCTCCGCCACCGCATATCCCAACACATTTTGATGAACTCCTAATGAGCTTAATAACAGCAAAGGCGTTTCAAGTTTCAAGTTGCCCGCAACTCCACTTATCTGACTCGAATCGGAATGCTCTACTTGAGACATCGTCTGGCTACCTCATTTATAATTTATTTATTTTTATTTTTATTGACTTTGATTCGCGCGGCTTTAAATCTTATCAGCGGGCATTACATGTTACCGTTGCGATAAGCGGAGAGGTTCAACTGCAAGTGAACCGGTTCAAAGGTAACAAATATAGACTCTAGACATGCTACGTGATTTTTATCTGATCTGATAAGAGCACGTCGTCCGTATTTGTTTACTGATTGTTGTTCAACATTTAATAAATGTTTATGAGCTGCAATCGGTTTATTAATTACCTGTTCGTGTTGTTCATTTTGTTCAATTTCCTTGATGTCCGCTGGCGTTGCTGTCATTTTGTTGTCCCACTCAGCCGTCGCTCATATGATATAATCCACGTCACAGTTGTATATACTTATAATACATACGTATATGTATTTAATGGGAATTTACATATATGTTTTAATATAGCAACAGTTAGTTATCGTTCTAAATGCGTGACTAGCGGAGCAATGAACGCGAGCAGCGCGTAAACTAAACTAAAACGAATTTGTTTGTCGCGTCGATTAAATCTTACGGAAATGTGAGCGGAGAGCGAGCGCGAGCAACAGACTGACCTTTAATCAGGCCCATTAGCTTAAGCTAATTGACAGCTGTGCATGAAAAAACAACCTGAAAAAATTGATAAACAAGCAAAGAGAGAAAAGAGAGAGGGAGCGAGCCATTTCTAGCTAATTTTCTAATTAATTAAGCTACTTTAGCCTTTGACATTCTGCCAACACTGTTTAGAGAGCATGCGAGCAGTGGTCATTTGATCGAGCTTATGCTGCTCTTCAGCTTATTACGCAAGCACACGCACAACTCTCATAAGCTAAGACGCTCGCAAAATCATCGCAAAAAACACGAATTCTTCGGGGCGAATAGTAAAATTTTCTTGTAAATGTTAAATATGTGAGATGTGTTCTTTCTTATGGGCAAACTCAGTTTACTCAATTTTTTACAACTTGGTGAAAAATGCACAATTTTTGATAGTGTAATCAGTCTATTAAACAACAACAACAAAGCTGCTAACATTGCAAAAAAAAGCTTATATGTCACATAACAAAAAGCTCAATTAAATGAATGCTCATTCGATCGATCTTGTATGCCCAAGTTAATGAGTCACTTGTTGCAGGCAAAAAAAGAAGCTTTTTGCCAAGCAAGCACAAAAGCGTGTGCTTCTATTTTAGCCTCTGATAGGATGGGACGTCATGTCTAAAAGAACTTAATTTTCGACCATCCTGTCTATGTTTCGATGCAGCCGGTTCCAACATGCATATGTACTGAAAGATACAAACATGTTCGTCTGCTCGGCTATATCAACTCAGTTTTTTGACACTGATCAAAAAAATATATATTCTATATGGAGTCGGAGACGTGTTCGTTCGCACATATCGTAAAATGTCGAGGAAAAAAAGAAATTGATCAATTTACAAAGTCAATCAAATATCACGATGCACATTTGCAAAGTCACCAGCAAAAAATCAATTCAATTTGTTTTCGTATATTTATTCTAGCTGCTTTTTAGCTGCTAAATGTCCATGAAATAATTTATGTACCAGATAATAACTTGAAATGAATTCAATTCACACAAATTAATATTTCGTTAGCGGCATTTGCCATGCACAATACTCCATTGCTGGCCAAACGGAAGAATGAAAAAAGCGCAAATTCAATATTATTGAATTGTATACGATATTTGCAAAAAACTAAAGGCATTTCAATAAATATAATTGAATTCAATTGCGTTTCCACTGACTGTAATTGCAGTTGGCTGTTTTTGTGCCACGACATCAAACGGCAATACGAAAAAAAGATAGATATCAATAAATATTTATAACGCTCTTTGGCGGAGATCAGCGCAGCGGGGCACTTGTATAAACATATTCAAAAATCCATTAGCATCGAATCTCGATGTCGACAACACTATAAATTTGTTAGTCTAGTCTCGCTGCAAAAAAAAATCCCCCACACAAAAACAGAACCAAACTGAACAGTTGCGGTTAGATTTTTGATACCAACAAAAGAGAAACAAAGTGCAGCTAGCGAATAGCATAAATCTTTTTGTACCCTCATAGAGGGTAGTATGGTTTAGTCGTGGAGTATGTAACACATAGAAGGAGACTTCTTGGAACCCATAATATATATGTATATATTCTTGAACAGTATCAACAGCAGAGTTAATATAGCCACAGGTGCGTCTGTCTGTTTCTGTCATAATTGACTTATTCTAAAAGAAATCTTTTCTTTAAAAAGTCTCACCTAGTCTCACTACCACATTATTTTGCTTTATGGGAAGAATAGGTTTAAGTTGAGTTTTTGTAAGCAACAGTGTGTCTCTCAATTTATCTTGAACCAACTCAGCAATTAGGAGCCCAATAAATCTTCTCGCATAGTGTACTTAATCATCGGCGTACCGGAGATGGCCCTTCTTTCTTGTTGCTATTGAAAATTGAAAATTGCTTTGGGCGGAGGCGATTGGATGTGTGATAAATAACGAATTGCAATCATAAATCTGGACCTGAGGAGTATGCAAAACGTTTTAATTTCAATGCAATTAAAAAAGGCCCCAGATTCGCACAAGTGGCCGCTGCAAGTTGGCCCAAGAAGCAGCCCGAGGCAGCATTTAATCAAATGCAGCTGGCGAAGGAGAAGGCAAGTACACATCCTGCGAACGCCAATCCTGCAATTTGCGCTCGTTTTTCGAAATGAAATTACGAGCATGCAACGAGCCTGCGCCGCATGCCGCATGCTGCATGCTGAATGCTGAATGCTGCTTGCTCCTCACCTGCTGCTGCTGCTGCTGCTGCCCACTCTTGACCCAAGCCTCGAACTAATGACATTTGAATGACAGCCCCGAACAGCAGCAGGACGACAGTATTGAACCAGCAGTTGGCCAGCCCAGCCCAGCCACAGCTGTAGCCGCAGCACAGTTGGCTAATGACCGCCAGTGGGTGAAGTGGCTGCGGCTGCGGCTGCGACTGCGGCGGCGACTGCGACTGCGACTGCAATGGTTCAGTTCCAAAGCTGTCCAGGCTGTCATGACTTCCAGCCCCCAGCTGCGATAACAATTGCCTCAGTCATATTGTTGCCATTGTCGCGCTTCAGTTTCATTTGCGCGGCTTTGGTATAAAAAAAAAAAATATATATATATATATGTGCCTGGATCTATGCCAAGAGCCACAAGACGTGCTCTGGTTAGCAGCGCCCCCTTTGTTGCTGCCACAGCCTTTTACCAGCCTGTTGTCAGGTGTAAAATGCAAAGTAATGACTTTGAATATGTCTGTTAAGAGCCCGGCAGGCGCGACACCAATGACAGCCACCTAACTGGCTTTGAGCATTAACATCCCTGGCAGAAATTGTAGTATTCCAGCTTTGGCATTCGGAATGAAATGATCCAAGCAGAGACGGAACGGAGCCAAAAAAATTTAAATGTACACGGTTTTAGATTTCAAGCTATATATATATATATATATATATGTATATATATATATATATGTATATATATATATATATATATATATATATATATATATATGTATAGGTATCTGTTTTCAGAAACAGAGAGCTTCTGATATGTATTTTTATGAACTCTTTTGACATACTCGGAAAGCGTATTTTAGCTTCGACTTGGCATTGATTAAATTTTAGCTGTCGTTATGCTAACATTTCTCAACCAGCCTGCCGTGCCAGCCGTGCCTTGAGTCCTGCACCTGGCTTTTGTCTGGCACTCAAGTGAAAAGCTTTTGTCAGCGCATGGAAATTTGACGGAAATTGTTTGGTCTGATGGATGCAGATGCTGTTGCAAAAGGCCCATCCACAATGTGCTCCAGTTACCTTTACCTAATGGTCTCGACCAACCAGTTTGCTAAGTAAGCGGACAGTTTTGGACGCATTATGGTCGGCCCCAAATCTGCTTGCACATTTGGCTAGCCGAGTGAAACGGCAATTTCAATAGAATTAAAGGCACAATTTGTTGCCAGCCAAGTGGAGAGCGGGGGCTGGCAAAGATTACGCCAAGCGAAATAAATGCAAATCGCGTTAAAAGTAAATTTTATTTTGCCCTCTATCTATCCGACTGCCGCTTGTTTTGCCGGCGTGACTGCAGGATAATGTCCTTAAAAATAGCTGCGCTGCTTTGCTGCTGCTCTTGCTGTTGCTGTTGCTGTTGCTCTGGCTGTGGCTGTGGCTGTTGAGGCAGCCAACTTTGGCGACAGGTAGCAACATGGAGGGGGGGTGCGGGCGTTGCAGATTTACTGCGGCACGCGCTGCTGCCACAATTACTTCGCTAGAAAACACAATCAAAATCAAGTTGAACGTTGAACTTTTTAATGCATAATTTATGGGTCTGAGTAGCCTGGCATTGGCCCGAAGGCAAGGCCGCTGGCGGGTTAAGGTGACGCACCTTTCTTTTGTTGTTGCGTCTCAAATACAAACATACATGTATATGTATATCTATGTTATAACAAGGGACAGCTGTGGAATGGAGCGCCTCCATATCATAAATATTTATGAAAGCTGCCAAAAGTGCACGACGTGAGGTCTCCTCCAGACCCACGGCTTGGCACGTGCGCCGTGTGGCATGCCACGATTTATATGCCCCCATTGAAACCAATATATTTGCTTTCATCAAAAACTCATCTTAAATGCCGACACATGCGGCACATAAATGTTAACCCAGCCCGCATAAGGGATATCTATATTCTCACAAGCATTCAATTGTATCTCTTTTAGCTGCCGACTACGTTGTAAACCACTTTTGAAAAACAGTTAAACGGGAATCAAGCAAAAACCATAAAATCATAATAAAATAATTGATGATTGATATTTACTTTATGCGCACCTATAAAACGGGCAGTTAACATTTGAGCTGGCGTTCTTTTTTAATGGAGCTCAAAAATATAATCTCTTTGCGCGTCTACGAGATACGAATTTTTAATTCGATATTCCTCATGCCAACTTTAGATGGAAAATATCTAGATAATCGCCCAAATTAACTATATAACATTATTTTCTTCTCGTTTTTAACTTAAATCAAATCATGATACTTAAGTGAATCCAATGGTCCTTAAGCTTGATTTAATTTCCAATAGTTTTCCAAATGGCCTTAACCCACATTGACACACAGTAACTCAAACACACTCACATGAGTAAACATATGTGTGTGTGTGTGTGTGTGTGTGTGTAAGCCGCCAACAACTGGCCACACATCCTGACGCAAAACTTTCTCTTGCTGCAGCACTCATCTTTTTTTGCTGGAAAAGAAATATCCTGCTAGCCAAGCCAAAACTATCAATTAAACTAATTAGCTTGATTTCCCCAGGCTGAACACGAACTGGCGCAGAAATTCAATCAGCACATGCAGAAAAACGCAATCAAATGATTAAGTCAACAAATGAAGTCAAATTGTTGGGGCTGCAGCGGTCAAAAAAGCTGGCAATTCGCAAAAAAGATAAAAAAAGTATATATATAATCATTGAGGAATAAAATAAAGCAGGCGAAAGCAGATGCAACTAACGAGTGTGTTCAAGCGGAGGTCTTCCTTAAAGTTGCAGCAACTTTTTGCTGGCCCAGACAGACGGGGAGACAGTGAGTGGGAGAGGGAGACATAGCTACCGGTAGATGGCTAACATTTTCAAACAGGTGCAAAAAGGTAGTTCAATTTGTTGGCGTCCTAATGAGCGGTCGCGTCATTGATTAGTAGCTTGTCCTGCCTTTAGGACTGAAGCACACTTTCCTTTCATTCTTATGGCATGTTTTTTTTCCTTGCAGTCAAGACTCAAATTCAAATTGAATTGTCTGAAGATTGGGCGTTCTATTATGTAGTAGGTGGTGGGCGTGGCACGTGCCATATGCACAGCATCGATATTGATTTCGTTCCCTTTGGCTTTTTTGTGCGTTTCAGCTGCAGGAAATTTATTTATATTCAATTTGTGAATTTATGCAATTTTTTTCTTATTTTTCTCAGGCACCAAGACGAAACGGGAAATTCACTTTTCCTTCATATGAGTGTGTGATTGTGTGTGTGTGTGTGTCGCTTTGTGTTTGCCAACTGTATCTGAGACTTCACGAGAAGCGCCGCTGCTGCTGCTGCTCCTGCTGCTGCCTGTGTGCGACGATAAAGCAATTTTTTTTTTTTTTGAGTTAATATTTTCCACAAACTCATAAACACATCAGGCCAGACGCTCGAGCCGTCTGGCTGACAGACTGACAGGCAGGCTGATTACCTAATCTGAAGGACTAGCGCCCAACTGTACCTAGCTGCATATGCTGACTGACCTGTTGGTCCACCCTAAATTACCTAGGTGCCAGGCGCTAGGTAACAGAGAGGAGGTGCTGCTATAAATAGGCAAGCGCCGGCTGCATCCTTCACTCAGTCGTTGTTTGGTCCTCTATCTGCCAACGTCTAGCGAAAAAGTAAAAGTTTTGCACACGTACTGTGATAGTCAGTGCCCAGTGTATAATCAGCCAGGATGTTATTTCTGGCGCCGCGCAAGCATCTATTTGCCAGCAATTTGATAATATTTCTATTGATTTATATCATGCGCAAGTGCCTGCAGTTGTTCTGCATCATTGAGAACAAGGCATGCCAGAAGCCCGACTGCAACTGTGAGCCGGGCCAGAGGGATTGCCCGGACTCACCGATTGTGGAGCGCCGTGGAGGCTTCAAGCTCATACCGGATGCCATGCGCAAGACCATGCACGGCTTTGGCTATGGCGAGGGCCACTATCAGATATTTGTGGAAAAGAAGGAGCGCAATTTGCCAACCAAATCGCGCCTCAATGCGGCCAGCGCTGAACTCAAGCTGAATCCCAATTAGGCAGCAGCATTCAGCGACCAGCAGCAGCAGCTCAAGGAGCCAACCAAATGTGCCAACAACAACAACAACAACCACAAAAACAACAATAATAATAATAACAATAATAATAGTATTAACAACAATTTTCCAATGTCTACTTGCAAAAATGTTTTAAAATAATTGTAAACATTCAGCAGAATTTCGTATCTTATCGAAGCGCATACTTGGCCATTAATAAAAATTATAAAAGTTAAATCTCTGCCTCAGGAATTTTTGATTAATGTCATTCATTTTCTATATGCCACACTCGAAAATGATCTACAACATTTACAGCCTCACAATTGTCAAGCTGTGGCAAGGACTGCTGCCGACGCAATCGCCGCCGGCTGCTGCTTGAAAAATTATCTACACTTGCGACGACTGTCAGCTGATCGCGTGGGTGTTTCTGCAGCCATTAAATGGCAGCAAATTCATCACAAAGTGGCCAAAGCGACACACATGCACACAACACACACAGTTAAACGGGGGCAACAACAATGTCTGGCAATATGTTGGCGTAATTTTTTAAAACTCTCGGCACACAGCATGGAAGGCATTTGGATTTTCGTAAGCTGTTTGTGGCACACGAGCTAAGGTTTAACAGCGAATGCACAGATATTGAATGTGCCTTAAATCGATTCAAAATCTATATATTTGATAGGTTTTATTGAATTCCAGTCACAAGGTAATTAACCAGCAGCCTATAAAGTATTCTCTTTAAAATCTGAACCTATCCAAAGCTAAAACATATATTGTAATATATGATTAATATATACAAGTATATCATCTCGACTTATTAGTTCTTATTGTTATAACTCAAACTGGTTGAATAATATCGTAGAATTCGAATAGTATATTTAAGTTAACTGTTCTCTACGCTCATATTAACTAAGGCTAATCACTTAAGCTTTTCATAGATTGAGTAGCACCTAATTTGATATATTATAATCATAATTACCACATATTTAGATTGGGGTATACAAATTGATTGCTTTGGGCACCTTCAATAGATGAAAGGCCCTCAACTAAAGAGCATCATCCTGTCATCTTGCAGAGTGGTTGCCATTTTGCCAGTTTCTATTGTTCCATTGGCACAGGCAGAAGATGGCAGCGCACATGAAGCTGAGTGCGCTCAGCGCTGAGTCTGGCAATTGTTAGCAAATCTATCATCATCATCGTCTTAAGCACGTGGCAGAGTGTTGTGTCTGTTGTGCGTGTGTGTGTGTGTATGTGTGTGTGTGCACTTAAAGACATTGTGCAAATTCTGCAGCATTTTGCCTTGCATTATAAATGAACAGATATTTTTAGTTGGGAGCAACATTTTGCTTGAGCTGCATATAAATTGTAGCCACACACACAACCACATTCACACACACCCACACACACACACGTAGACAATGTTGTTGCCTGCGCTTGTGTCTGTTGGCAAGCTGTCATTATAATCATGATTATTATTGTTGTAATTCTAATTATGCATTGTTGTGCGGGACTGAGGGGCCACATTACACATACGCCACGTCTGACACGCTGCGTGGCAGCAGCCTGTGTTTATCGAGGGTGAGCGTGTGTGTGTGTGTGTGTGTGTGTGTGTGTGTGTGTGTGAGTTTATGTATTTGAACGTGCGCGTGCTTCATTTTTATCAATGACAGTTGTTCGTTGTGTGCCGTTGCTCATGTGTAAAATGAAAATGTCAGTCGGATTAGCGCCAGCAGCGACAGCGATAAAAGCGAGCGGAAGCAGCGCCAACGACATCCTCTCGCCATGATGAGCACCAACCAACCTGGTCTGGCAGCAATTGCCGCAGATATAAATATAGCAAATATAGCGTAACCTTCTTCATAATATAACGCAACTCCTTCGTCCAAGGATTTAGCTGAATGCATTCGCATCAGCATAAAATGCTAAGCTCTCATGTAAATCATGTCGACATTGTTGGACTTAAGCAGCCCTGTTTGTTGGACTCTATGCTTGGACTCATTATAATTAACAATTTATAAAGCGTTAATACCCACATACAGACACACACACATACACACACATACACCCGCAACGGCAATTTGCCAAGGCAGCCAAAAGAGCATGCTCAGCAGCATATCCGCACAAGCAAACAAACAAACAGATAGTCAGAGAGGGCTGGGAGTGGGCATGGAGCTGAGGGTGCTCATAGCATTCATTTTGCTTGTAAACTGGTTTTCCGACTCATCCTAGGCATGGACCCGCGCCCGCGTCCCTAACAACGCTGCACGGCACGTCGCGCGCATTAAGTAGATGAGCTGCATTTTTCATGCATGCGAAGTTGAGATTGCAGCTGCCGCACACGCCTCATCCCGTTCGTCAGCACCAGGAACAACACCAGCACACCAACATACACACACACCCACACACACACACCCGTGCAGGATGGTGTGCCCGTTTCCTTTTAGCTTTAGCTTGACTTGCCACTGCATCCAAGCCTCTCTGTCCCTTTCGCCTGCCGCACGTTGGCTTTCAGCTTTCAACTGGCAAGTTGCAGCTTCAAAAGTTCTGCTTCAACTGCTGCTGCTTCTTCTTCTTCTTATTTTGCTTCTTCTTCTTCTTCTGCTGCTGCTGCAGCATTATCCTACTCATCAGCATCATTTGTATTAATTGCCGGGCATTTTGTTGTGCAATGATACTGAAAATGAGCATTGTTGTTTTTACCACAGTTTTCCGTAATTTTCATTTGTCGTTCCCCTTAACGCGCAAAAACTGTTGGCGTTACATTTACTTATATGCAACTGTTTGGGTGGAAACGCTTTAACTGTTTTCAATTTATTTGCTAAGAGGACAGCAAACTTGGCAAATGGATTGCGTGTCAGTGAGCGAAGGGACAAAGGGCCATCGGGGTTGATTGCATTAAAGAGTTTTAGAAACAATTGAAAATAACTATGAATTAAGTTAGTGTCGAAATCAATCAAATAAATATGCTATCTAAAAAAGATGTAAAATATTTAACTGCGATTCCATTGTATGCCATTGTATAAGTAAACCAAAAGTTATAATCAATCGTATCGGCCCATGCTAGTCGTGTGAGGGAGCTCAGGTTTTCTCAAAGCAACCATTGATTCGCCTTTACCATGAAGACCGGCGGCACCTCCATCATATAGGATAACTACAGAGAATAGTTCAGCTTCCTAGCTTTAATAGTTTGGGCTGTGCATCAATCATAATCAATCAGTCAGTCAGTCAATCAGTCAGGATAGACAGTTTTATATACAGATATATATAATATATATATATGGTTTGTATTTTAGGCAAACGTGTAAGACTTATGCTAAAACAACACTCGGATCTTAAAATCCTTGTCTATATAAGTAAAACCTTTAAGAACATGTAAAAATGGTTTGAGCTTACTTTGGAGATCGAAAGCGTAGAAATCGTTTTAAATAGACTACTTTTATCTTCAACATTGCTGCTATTGATGGCATAATGGCAATTCAACCATAATTTTGGGTTGATTGAACGAATTCGCCTGGTAGTTGCCATGTTCCCAAGGACAATTAACGTGCATGCAACATGCAATTGACGAACAAACGGGCAATATTTATTGTTCATGGGCAAATCTGGAATATCTGGCAACACTGACAAGTCTGATGGCGGCCCCGGCCACAGTTCCTGGCAAACTGCAATTGCTGTCATTTTATGGCTGGCTCAATTAGTCGATAGGTCGATTGCAATGCGAAATGTGCGCGCGTTCAATTGAATTTTATTGAGTCTTTAATTGGCGCCATGCATGCGGCCTGCGGCAAGAGGCTGGCAGTGGGCGGCTAGCGACAAGGCGTGTGCATTTGCCATGCAACGGTAAATGGGCAAATCGTAACAATGGCAGCAAAATTCAACCAATTGCCATTAAACCATTTCCCAGTCATTGGGCATGGCATAATTAGCAGCGCAATTGCCATAAACAAAACAGCGCGCAGAAAATGTAAAATGCAAAATGCGAATTGCTTACAAATTGGCCTGAAATGCAGCAAAAAAAAAACTATCTAACAACCATGAGAATGATATACGAAATGATACCAATTTGCCTTTGCCCCTGCGCCCACCCCTGTCTACTCCTACTTGTAATTTCCACTGTTTTTGCTGCTTGAGGCGCTGTCAGCAATAGCTGCATACGGCTGTTGTTGCCTACTGAATGAGAAAGTCAACAGGCAGAAATAATATACATGAGTGTAGCTTATAATATATGAATAGTATATATGGTATATATATATGTATATGTAGTATATATATATGGATATGTATATATGTGAAATTTGTGCACTCACCATGTAAGTCCCTGAACAGCTTTACTAGTCCAACTGACGACTCATGCCCTCCTCAATTTATACTGCTGGCTCTTCTGCTTGATCTGCTTTTTCATACTAGTAAACACACACACACATGATATTACAGCATCTGCAGCGACCCGCCTTACAGCTTCGACTAAGCCGACCTGTTACCCGGCAGTCGTATTTATACTGCTTGCTCTTATTCCTGAGAGCTAACATTTTTGATTTGCACTCACGTATTTTTATGCCAACACACATGCACAATCACAATATTACACCATCCGCACCGGCCCGCTGCGCAGCTTCGACTAAGCCCAGCTCTGTACAGCAGCCGTATTTATACTGCCCGCTCCCTTTTTTTTTTTGCGAGCTTACACTCATGATCTGCTCTCTCACATTTCTATGCTTGCACACATACACACGCACATATACAAAATTACAGCACAATCTCGCCTTGCAGCTTTAACTTAAATCCAACTCTGATTGACTTATTAATGCAGCTAGCTCTTCTTCTTGCAGGCGTATATTCATGATCCGTTATCTCATATTTTTATGCTTACACACAGTCACCCGAACATATACAAAAAAAGAGCTTCTGCACCGGCCCGACGCGCAGCTTCGACTGCTGTTAGAGACAGACGTTTTATACGGTACGCTCTTTTGCTCGACAGCTTAAATATGTGATCTCCTCTCTCGTATTTTTGACATCCACACCACATACACCATATCGCCTAGCAGCTTCGTCTAAGCCCTGCTGTTAAGTGCTAAGTGTTTGCCAATAGAGATCGCAAGACGTTAATGCAACGGTAAGGCCTTCCGTTGTATATAACTATGTATGTAGGAAATATATATATAAGGGTATATGTGACAATATGTATATGCTTAAATCAATTGACCAGCGAAGCGTCTCTTAAAGGCACGCAGCATTAATATACCGTAATAAATGCGCAATAAAATTAAGCCGAAAACAAAAAATAAATAAAAATTTGTAATCGGATTTCCAAGTCGGCAAATGTGGCCACAGAAAACACGCCGCACAGCCGCACACATTTTGTGGCAACACACAGATGCAGAGATACATATGTATAAATGAATCACTCGTAATTACATATCCATAATTTAAACCGCATGGACATGCATATAAAGCCCCAGAGTCATATGTCAGTAAACCAACCAATCAAATTTGAACAAATGTCTCTTATTGTTTATAGATATTTCTGTTCGGCAGTTGAACTTTGTCAGTTGATATTAAAAATTAAAAACAATTAAATTCAAGCTGTTCGGCAAACAATTGTAAATTCAATTAAACTTAAACTGAGATATGTTTGTTAAGTCTTAGCCATGATTTACTGATTTATTGCTAGCTGAAGTATTTTGAACGTCGGCTTGGCGCCAGTTTCGAGAGGCCATCAATAAACAAATTTATAGACAATGCGGCTTATGGCGAAATGTCTATAACGAGCTCTCGATAAACTGCAAATGCACATAAATTTTTTTTCGCTACCAAAATGTTACTTTTGGTGGCACAGTGTGTCAAAAATGTAGATCAACATCATAGTATATAGTACTTCAATCAGTCCAATACTTGCAACTTTAAGAAACAATCATTTAAGCCATGCTCAGGTCAATTGTGAATTTAAAATTTAAGAAATGTAACTGTTTGCATACTGCACCGACTCACTGTACGTATATGCCGCAATGTTGTTTTTCGTTTTCATTCTTGTTTGCTCTCTTCTCTCTATCATGGCTGGAAGCGTTTTCAGCTTTTCGAGCCGCAGCCGCAGTCGGAGCCACAATCGGAGCCAGAGCCAGAGCCAGAGCCAGCGACAACAGAATGCAAATTCAAATGCCGTGTGAGTTGAATATTCGTTGACTTGGCCGCTGCCAAATGGGTCAAAGTGGCAGTCAGCCAGGCGGGTCCAAAAAACGTTTGCCAAACCAATACACTAACATTCAGAGACAGGGCATATGTAATCTGGGCGCTGCAAAGTATGCAGCAAAAAACCAAATTGTGCGCTAAATTTGAAATCAAACAAAAACACAAAGAAAAAAAATCATAGCCGGCAAATAAAGCAAATGCATGTGTGTCCCTTCGCCGTTTGTGTTAGTGTGTGTGCGACTGCGTGGAGCCAAAGGCAAACAGAAAGATGCACGGTCTGGGCACAAATGTTAGCACAAAGCCACACACACGCACACACACACACACACACATGCTGAGGGCAACCGCATGGCCAAACATTAGTGCACGCCGCCACCCGCATTCAGGTCCCTTCCGGGTGGCTACCATTGCTTCGGCCTGGTCACGTACAAATCCGATTTACACAATTCAAATAACGAACATTTTGCACACTATTTGCAGAAATCACACACTCACTCACACACACACACACACACACTCGCATCCACAGCCAGCACATATTGACTCCGCCAAGCGGTACGTTTGACGCCCGATGAAGTTGGCAAAGAATCGCGCCGAGCTTCAAGTTGCAGTCGCCCGTGAATTACGCGCCGATGCGGCTGCAATTGCAAATTGCGACGGCGATGCCGACTGCGTTGGCGACTGCGACTGTGACTGCGACTGCAACGCGCCCAGTTTTATGTAATTTTAATTAATTTTTTGCGGTCAGCTTAAGGTCCCGAACGGGTTGCACTTGGCATCGTTGTGTCAACTGGCTCGCTTAACCGCTTTTTCGTGTCATGTTTTAATGCTCAAGCTTTCAACTTTGCTTTCATTTTAATTAAAAATGTGTTTTAATGCGCTTTCCCAAGGATTTGTCATTTTGCGTCCACGCACACTTCCCTGTTATTTAAAAAATGTTCATTTAGGGAACTCGAAAATTTAATTGCAAGCTCGCTGCAAGCGTCAACATTGACGCCTGCTGCGCTCTATGCCTCTCTGCAAATACCGAGCACCCTTGTCCTGTGTGCTCTGGCGCTGATGCATTGCCCACAATCCATGTCCCATATGGAATGCAATAAATTGCCAAAGCAAGCACAAAATATGCCAGCAATGGCATTAAATGTCAAATAAAAATTCAAAACAACAGCAACCAAAACAACACTAGAATCAAAATGCCAGATTGCATGCGCCACATTTGGGGATTTCTCCTACAAACACAAACACACAACCACGCACACATACTAGCTCACACAGTCGAGTGTCTTTGCAGTCACTCGCTTGCTGACATATTTCAATAACAAAAAGCAAATACAGGCCAGCTGCAAGGCTCAACGAATTTTATATACACTTGCCCGCATTCGGTTGGCCGCCAATTGAATTGTTTGCTTTGGCTGTGAAAAGCATTTGACTTGAGAGTCTTGCAGCTGCCACATTTCTGTCTGCATTCTTGTCTGCCAGGCTGCACGAAAATTTGACTATGCCCAGACTGGGCACTAGAGTGCATGAAAATCTCGACAAGTTGACTTAAAAGCATTGCGACATAGTTGAAGATAAACTGAGCTGAGAAATTGCAGCAACAGCAACGCCCACTACAGATTTATGGACACATTTTTAGTTGCAGCTGACTCGAAATTAAGTTGCACAGACACAAACACACACACGCACACCCGTAATGCGGGGTCAGCTTATGAGCTGTGCATAAAGCTGTTAACTGTTTGAAAAGTGCTTAAAGTGCGGCATTAGCTCTCGTTATTATCACACTAGTTTTATAGGGGCGTGCCAGTCAGCCAGCCAGCAGCTCTGGCACTCTGGCCGCAGACTTACACATTGCTATGCCCCATAAATCGCGCATACGCCACGTGGCGTTGCCAGATACCGTAAGTAGCCCCCGAACCACAACATCAACAGCATATCCCACAGCGCTTTTTTATGGCCATCTTCGGTGCACTTAAATGCGCTGCTGATGCTGCAGCAACGTGCACTAAGTATTGCTGCAATAAAAGTCGCAGCCAATGCTCAACAATATCAAGCAAATGCGTAACATCATTTGCTTTAACTTAAAACTTAAGCCGCTTTACTCACTTAAAGCATTACTGATGATGAACCTCCAGACGCTTGCTGAGATCAAACTGCAAGACAGTATTTATTTTCAAATAAGCTAAGCGTCTACCAGGTTACAAGGTAGAGCAAAAGTATCAATAAAGTCAGGCGTTAAATAAAAAATAATTAAAAAAAACATTTAAGATGTCTGCGTATTTTTATAGCTTTTAAGAGGATGGTATTTTATGTAACACAAAAAAAGGACAACAGTTCTAATTTAGCCCACAATCACGGGCTCTTAACTAAGCCCAACCCAAACCAACTTCCAGTTATTAGAATATGCGTCAAACGCAAACTAACTAAATAAATTACACCATTACATTATGCATAATTAAGTGTTTTCATAGTTTTGTTTTAAATTTAATAATATTCATTTCGAATAATAAATCTGATTTAAGAACAGGCACGAAACTTGCAGCTAACTGCAAACAGCAGGAGTTTGTTGCCGGCGCAGTTCGCTCTAATTGCGTTTTGTTTGCTTTTCCGGTTGTGCTCGCATTTCGCATTTTCTTTTTCGTTCTTTCTAACTCCAGGTAGTATTATCTGCAGCTCGTTAATTCGTGCGCCAAGTCAATATATGTTTGGCCAGGGAATGGGAATGGGAATGGGAATGGAAACAGCGGAAGTACAACTTTTATGCGTGCTGAGTAAATTTTATGTTGCGTATAATTAGAGCAAGTTCTGCCCTGGAGATTATTTGGTGGGCGTACGCTGGCCACATTAACGCTCTGGCTCTGCTCTGGCATTTAAGTTAATTTCTTGCTTCGTGCTGTTTATGAGTGGGCGTGGCAGCCCCACTGACCGCACGCACACTAAGCAGTGACCAACAGCGCCAAAGAAGTGGAGCAAGTAATTGAGATTGTAATCGTTACTTATTGTGCGTATTGGCTTACAACAAAAGCCAATTGGGCCAATAGTCAGAGCACATAGCTGCTGTATCTATATGTTTGTGTGTGTGTGTGTGTGTGGAGCGTGTCAAACTTTTTGGGGCATTAAGTTATTAAGCTGTTTGCTGTTCTCCTTCTTTACGTGCTGTGCATGTGACGCAGCTTGTGGCAACGCATATTGAAATATGCTGTAAGCAATTAATAACATGCCCCATGGCCAGGCCATTTTATGGCTCATCAATGGCACTAACCGAGCTGGATTTATATGCTATCGAAAGCTGCCTCTATGTGTAGGTGTATGGGTGTGTGTTTGTGTGTGTGTGTGTGTGTGTGTGGGGGGGGTTAGCAGGCA